ATGCAACAGCAGAAGTCCTGGAGTGTGACAGGTACAACGTATTTAGGACAATAAACCGTATAACACGATGTCCATTGAACCAACCAGCTCCTCTCTTGAAATAGTCGCCGATAGGATTGGCTGGTGACTCAACGGCTGACTAGTTTGAATTTCAAGTTATTGATTGACTGACTGCACGATGCGTTCGCTCGCGTGTAGGCCGATCGATAGCCGCAGGCGCAGCTACTTGCTTGCAAGTTAACTGCTTGCTTAGGCTGTTCGTTAGGCCGTCCTAACAAAGGAGACCAGGATAACCGTTTCTAGCTTATCAGTCGTCATCCGTCAGCATTAGTCAAAGCCAGCTTTACATACCGAAGTCTGTAAAACGCATTTTTAGATCATACATACCCGGGTTAATTAACATGCTAACATGGTGCTAATGCCGGTTAGTCGCTTCTTAGAGAGATTTCCCCACAGAATTGCATTTCTACACCTCCAGTAGTTGTATTCGTCTACATGAGAATGCAGCACAGAAAGGCAAGCGAACGGGTATTCTTACCTCCAACCGGTAAGCGAGGACTACCGGTAGTAAACTGCACAAACAGTCTCCTCTGTTTCTCATCAAACTCCGAAAGTATCTCAAAGAGGAATTGAATAGTCCTCGATTGCAGCGTGTAGCCATGATCACAGAGGCAGGACTTCATCAGACTCTCCACATCCCATCCACTGGCTGTCTGTCGGCCAGGCGGTCCGTGCTCGGCGCCGCAGAATAGACCCTCACACTCATGGGGGCGGAAGAGTCGAGCCAGTGTCTGCGTACGTACTCCCGGCAGGACAGAATCGAAGCCCTCGATTACGGCCAACATCTGCCGACGCACGCCCTCCACTAGCAGCCAGTTGGCACACTGCGCCAGGTAGTCGGAGAGATTCGAGGCCGTCACGGCAGTCTGTGCGCCATTTTTGCACAATTCAATCTGGTCGGAGGGAGAAAGAAAGAGATAATTAAAATGGGCAGGTCTAATGGATGCATTAGACTATTCGCACTGGCAACTGGAGAAGTTGCCGAAAAGGATGCAATAGAATGGACGCACACGTCGGCCTGACTGGCGTCCCGGTGCAAATCATGAGGGATCGCATACAGGCTTTTGCATATAGATTTCAGAAGGGGG